CCCTGCCGGCCTTTGTAGTGAACCCAGGGTATACCATAACATCCATTCAGAGCACTGAAACACATGCAAAACGCACAAATAGTAAGGTTGGTTCTCGAAGTAGTAAGTAGTGGCACTACAGTACTACGGTACCCTTCAACAGATAACTCCAAATAACTAAATGTTCAAAGATAGAGGAAATAAGCTAGTCTACAATTATAATCAGCAGAAAACATTGCTGTAACATACTAAGCATTAAATGTTTGCTAGTTCAGGTTAATGTGCAAAACTTCATGCAACTAATAACAAATTCTTGGATCCAAGAGATAAATAGTCCTTGTAATATGCAAAATAGAAACAACATTTTCAGGCAAGAATCAAGATATTGCACAATAACTTTTATTATGTCCGAGTCTCTGAGATCCTATCTCTAAGATTGTAATACTCAACTTATTATAGTGCAATTACCTATAAACTTGCCACTCATATGGAGGGCCATAATTGCAACCCTTACTGTTGCGGTGCTCGAATTTCAAAGCTACCTGCAATATGAGAATCCATCTATTATCACCACCATGTGATATTATAGCAGAAACTTTTTAAAAGAAAAGGAAAAAGGATGGGGTTAGACCTCGATAGCATCAGCTCCAGTGCGATCAGTTCCACCAGAAACCCTTCTGCCAACATAAACCTGTCCAAAACCACCTTTCCCCAACTTCCGCTCTACCTTGTATTGCGGAGAATGGCCTACTTGAACCTGCAAATGATTCATCGACTTTACTAGGTAACCAAATCTCCAACTCATCATAGTGTAAAACAATATTGTGCCAGATGACACTCAAACAAACCGTATTCTAGTAAAAGTCATGACAGATTCAAGTATCCTATCATGCACTAACATTTTTTTTGCACTCCTTTCAAGCAGAGCGTGACTCTCAGAAATGCCTGCCATTTGAGATAGAGATGAATATTTGCAATGAAAAAGGATTAGTTATAACCGATGCAATTTATGGAGTGGTTTATTGCTAGGCAAGAAAGTGACCTCCTAAGACTCCAGATTTAGAGCACTCGAAGACTAGATGATGTTCATGGAACCTAAAGTTGATTTTGTATCAAAAGGTCAAAGTTATTTGCCATGCACAGATCCATGTCTATAAGTTTGAAGAACCTAATGACGCCAAGCTATTGCACAAACTCCACAGTGGCATCCAAACTAGATTTGGGGACAACTATATTAGGTCTTAGATCAACTATGTTGTAAAAGAACAGCTTCCATGATATAAGCAAACAGTAAGCCTAAGTTGAGGGATGCAGAGCAGCCATGTGCACTGGCATTCGCACGGTAACAGATAAGGAGATGCCCTCATGAATTCGGTGAGGTCAACCATCCCATTCTACGGCTATGTACTATCAAAAACTTCAAGCTAGCATCATTGACAAGGAAGCATCCATAGAAAAAAGTGGAAACATTTCTGAATAGAACATAAATAGGGGCACCTGCCTTGCCCTACAAACAATGCCAAAAACAAAAATGGTAGAGTAAGGAAGGTGCTGTTATGCTTGTTATCAGGTCAATTATTTTATGCATTTAATAAGTTCCAAAAGGCGTTACCAATATCTACGTAAAGAAAAAAGCTTGGTCCACCTGAACCATGCACATAACGACATAATATCGTAATATGATATAACGGTACACTTGTGGTACCAGGCCAAAATCTACTAATTTGTCGTCATCTCCGAAACCCTAACAGTGCATGTCTGCAATCAGAATAACAGGAGAAATGCATGCAAGTGATAACATGCATAATAAATTAGTAAGAGCTCAATATGAAGAATATACCTTATCCGGAACTGGAGATGCATTCCCATCATCTTCGCCTCCACCAATCTTCTCAGCACTCCCACCATCCATCTTCACAACCTTATTAGCAAGTTCCTCGATATGATGGGGGCCTCCAGCAGCGACTCCGCCAATAGCAGCTCCTGGAAGAACCTCACAAGGTTGGTCCGGGTCCAAATCAATCACCGGAACACCTCGCCCTCTTCCTCCTGCCCTTCCTCTTCCTGTTGCTCTACCTCCACCCCTCCCACCCCTTCCTCTACCACGTCTTCCTGCCACCGTCGGTGCCACCACTACCAAGTTCTCAGCTGGGTCCTGTGCTGCAAGGTCCTCAACCTTCTTTGCCTTCAACCGAGCTTGCCGGACTCCACTACGCAACTCTGGCATCCTTTCTCCCCATGCACTTCCTGCCGCCCACGAATCTACCACCCAAAAAGTCACAACACCACGGATTAATCCTGCATTTATACTGCTCAAAAACATGTGGATTAGAATAAACTAACACTGATAAGGTTGAGTAAACCAACTGATGATTTCACATCTAATAGCAGACCCATCAACTCCTAACCATATCACATCTCCAGCCAAAAAAAAAATCACGGCAGACTGTGCCATCAGATTTGCCAACAGTGGTTTCCACAACCCGTCCGCCCCAAATCCTATCCCGATCTCCCCGACACTGATTTTCCCAACCAAAACCGATCAAAAATCGGGCTTAACGAACGCATACATCTCGCCAAATCATCGGCGCCCCCCCGATCGTCCCAGGAAAACCGTAGCCCGAACCAACACCAACCGATGAAACACGAGCAGCAACCCCGAATTTCCGCCGCCGAAACGGGGAGATCGGCGCGCGCCGGAACGATCGCCGCGCGATCGGACGCGACGGACTCTAAGATCGGGCCCCGCGCCGACGATCGCCCGCGTCCCCCCACGCCGCCGCCGCCACCGACATGGAGACAGCCCAGCCCACGAACGCGGCGTCCCCCGAGAGACCCTCCGGATAGAGGGAGGACGACGACGGGAAGGAGGAGAGGGGAAGAAGTCCAGGCGTGCAAGGCTAGTTACCTCGGGGAGAGAGACCGTGCGGCGTGTGGCGGCGGCGGCGAGGCGGAGGAGGAGGAGGGGAAGGATGGGAGAGAGAGAGAGAGAGAGGTTGGTGTCTGGTCTCGCGGAGGCGCACACACACACACCGCCCGCTGAGGCCCGAACCGAGAGACGCTGTCTGGAAAATGGGCGAGGAAGGGCTTGGCTTTTTGAAGGCTTCCCGTTGTGAATAATTTTCCGTTTCCTTTCTCCTCCTCCCACGCTTTGGAAGGCACGGAGCCACGGAGACGGAGTGGGGAGGAGGGGAGCTCGCTGCCCGCAACCGGGGCTCGGCTCGCTGGATTCAAGGGTCACGATGCGCTTGGGCTTCCCCGGTGGGGTGATGGATAACGTGGGATTGCTCGGTGGGCCCGCCGTCTACTCATCAGTAGTAAGATTTTTCCTTCCGGGAGTGTCTCTATTTCTTTTTTTCGTTTTTGGAGAGGTGTGTCTCTCTGTACTGGGGGCGTCGTGACTCGACGTATTTGCTGCTGCTTTTTTTTCTCTATCTGGGATCCAAATACAAAATTTATAGAAGTATTGTTCTTTTATACTCCCTCCGTCGTATAATATAAGAAATTTTGAGTTTTTGCTTTTAACGTTTGACCACTCGTCTTATTTAAAAAAATTTAAAATTATTATTTATTTTATTTGTAACTTACTTTATTATCTACAGTATTTTAAACATAACTTTTCGTTTTTTATATTTGAAAAAAAAATTGAATAAGACGAGTGGTCAAAAGTTGTAAGTAAAACCTCAAAATCCCTTATATTGTGGGACGTCTTATATTGTGGGACGGAGGGAGCAGTAGTATTTTTCTCTTGAACTCAAGTGTTCTTCTTCTTGTGTGTTTTTACCGAGATGGAGTACAGATAAAGTTATTTACTCCTCAGATCGAAAATATTACCGTTGTTATGGGGATGCTATAGTGCTATATTAGTCAATGTATTAATGATTTTCGGCTTGTATATGAGCAAGAAATCTACGGCGGGATCATGACTTGTGAAGTTAATACGAGACTGTTATTTAGGTCTAAACTTCCCCCTGTAAAAGCGCGAGGAAAAATACGGCAATGCTTAACATCTATTTGCCCCCAAACTAATCGCACACGCATGCTCAAGTTTTTTTTTTAATCCTGACACATCACGTATGCTTATCTTTTCAGTTCGGTTGTTTTCATCGTGGAGCATGTGCAGCGTAGTATCATACGCATGGTTTGCTTCATTCAGTAAATAAATTAAGAAATATACAATAAATTTCTCGCAAAAATACAGAATAAATAAACGAGCGTACAAGAACTCCACGTATGTTCAGTTGAGATTACTCATCCGGTGGCATCACACCATGTTCATGAAGTCCATATATGACAGAAAAGGAATACGCAAGGGCTGCATTTTTTTTCCTCCAAGCTACTGTATTTCGTCGTTTGGTGCGGGTCAGGTACAGAGCCAGGTGTATCGCACGAAAAGAAAAGGAAAATGAGGAAAAAATATAGAACAAGAAGAAAAGAAAAAAAAAGAAAAGGGAAATGTGTCATTACGCTGTGGCTCTTGAGAGAAGGGGAGAGTAGAGGGGCAAACGGCAAAACGCAAAAGACGTTTCGAATCCAAACTCTAGCCCAACTGCAAACACGCGGCGCGCTAGCACTGCAAGCGGCCCAGCCAGATGGCAGCAGCAAGTCACGACGAATTGGGCTTACGCAGCTGTGGTCCAACACAAGCCTGGCCAGTGAGCAAGTATGTGTTGGGTTTGCGTGGTCGGCCCAGTGGCCGAAGCCCAAGCCCCAAGGATCCTTTTCCATTTTCCGAAGGATGAGATGGATCTTTTGGTCGGCACGAATGAACAGGATGATGATGCCTGTGCAATGCAATGCATGGTTTCGGTCTAATGCTTAGCCTTTGTCTAGCCTTTTCTCGTCCAATACCAAATGCCCTGGATTGTGTTCGATAGAGGGAAAGGTAAAACTAGCCAAGTTTCATGCGCGTCCAAGATTAGATACCTCACTTTGTTTCAGTTTAGTTCAAAATTGTAGTTTTGATAAAGGGTAGTACACACACTGCCGCCTCAGCGGGGAGATCTCAGGAGATGTGTGCTAGCTCTACTAGCAGAAGCCTGGAAACTAACTAGTTTGACTGATGCGAGATGCGATGCGACTACGCAGCGAACTCTGATTTGGACAGTTCATCGCGTATGCGCGCGGCAGCCGGCCGGTGGGCGACAGAAATTAGCAGCGTCAGCGTCGATCCATCTGCACAAGCACAAGTGCACAACGATTCCAATGTTCGTCAGCTTCGCAGCACGCCGGTTGCTTCCATATACTCTGCTCCTTTTTTTTCTATCATTTCCTCACCCGATTTGCTGGATTCCCCTCCTTGGAACCACGTCTGCCGCACAGTTCCATCCACCGATCCACGGCCTCCATATGCACGTCTCGCGCGTAGGCCGTAGCATCCCGACAACAAAAACAAAACAAAAAATCTCCGCTGGTTGGTATCCTACTAATTCTGTCCTACACGTTTTATATTGGTGTAAATCGATGTTTGGTACTCCGATCCCGTTCATCATTGCGTCAGGGCTTATGTCTGCTCCCCCACGAACTAATGTGATTCCCGGTTAGTTCCATCTGCCAGGCAGCTTGTGTGATCGATCTCTTGAGGAGTTGACTATAACTTGTAGTGTACGCGCCGGCTCATGCATCTCTCCGGCGCGCGGCTGAGGATCCCGACGTGGTGCACAATGCCGCACGGTTCTTGGCTCCTGCAGACGTGCTCGCCGTCGGCCGCGCTCGCGTCGCTGGCCGTCGTCACGACTAGCCTGCTGATCATCGGCTACGCGTCGAGCTCCTTCTTCCTCGGCGCGCCGGCGTACGAGTACGACGATGTTGTCGAGGCGGCGGCGGCCGTGCCGAGGCGGGGGCCCGGGTACCCGCCGGTGCTGGCGTACTACATCTCCGGCGGGCACGGGGACAGCGTGCGGATGACGCGGCTGCTCAAGGCCGTGTACCACCCGAGGAACCGGTACCTGCTGCACCTGGACGCCGGCGCGGGCGCGTACGAGCGGGCGAGGCTGGCGGGGTATGCCCGGTCGGAGCGGGCGTTCCTCGAGTACGGGAACGTGCACGTCGTCGGCAAGGGCGACCCCGTCGACGGCCGCGGTCCGTCCGCCGTCGCCGCCGTGCTCCGCGGCGCCGCTGTCCTGCTGAGGGTCGGCGCCGAGTGGGACTGGCTCGTCACGCTTGGCGCGTCGGACTACCCACTCGTCACGCCGGACGGTAAGCTCGACGTCGTCCCGTTGGTTGTTTGCCTTCGATGCCACCGATGACAAGCGATGAAATGCTGATGTGGCGAACTGGCGATCGTGTTTGTGCAGACCTTCTCTACGCCTTCTCCTCCGTGCGGAGGGGGCTCAGCTTCATCGACCACAGGATGGATTCCGGCGGCGCCGAGGCGGTCGTCGTCGACCAGAACCTCCTGCAGAGCACCAACGCCGAGATATCGTTCTCGTCGGGGCAACGAGCAAAGCCTGACGCGTTCGAGCTCTTCAGAGGTAGGCTTCCGGTAGGAGTCCACGTCATTTCTCGCACGGGTCATTCACTAACAAATTGATGCGAAACATGCACAGGCTCGCCAAGGCCGATCTTGAGCCGGGACTTCGTCGAGTACTGCGTGGTGGCGCCGGACAACCTCCCAAGGACGCTGCTCCTGTACTTCAGCAACTCCCTGAGCCCCATGGAGTTCTACTTCCAGACGGTCATGGCCAACTCCGCCCAGTTCCGGAACAGCACCGTCAACCACAACCTCCGGCACACGGTGGCGCAGGACGGCGGCGCGCCGACGTCGCAGGGCGCGGATGGGCAGCAGGCGTCGCGGTACGACGCGATGGTCGGCAGCGGGGCGGCCTTCGCCGGGGCGTTCGGCGACGACGACGACGCGCTGCTGCAGAGGATAGACGAGGAGGTGCTGCGGCGTCCGCTCGATGGCGTCACGCCGGGCGAGTGGTGCGTGGCCGACGGTGAGGAGGGCACAGACAACGAGTGCTCGGTCGGAGGCGACATTGACGTGGTCAGGCACGGCGCCAAGGGACGGAAGCTGGCGACCTTGGTGGTTGACCTCGTTGGGGCCTGACCGTGTGACGGGTCCAACAGTTCAGAGAAAACGAGCAATGAGATGACAGATGAGCGGCAGAGGAACAGTTTGATGTTTCACTGCTCAAAGAACAACTAGTGCAGGCCAAGTGCCCCTAAAATGCCTCTTCAGGCCAGCAGCCCGGTGGTTGCGTCATACTTTATTATTCACATGTACGAATGTACCATGGATCCAACGCATATTGCATTGGACAAAAAATGTGTGGCAAAGTGTTCGAGACTTATACAAGAATACAAATCGCGGCTGTGCTCAACTTGGCAGGCCGCCATTTGGAGAGATTGCAACACTCGATGGCCGTAGTGTGTCTGTCAGCAGAAGTTAGAATGGAGACGAAAACCATGTAGAAATTTATAATGCCATACATTTAAAACAAAGACACTTCATTGGCTAGGTAAACAATCGTGTATTAGGGAGCCATTTGTTGTTACACATGGGAATCGTTTAGTGGTACATGGAAAAAAAAAACACCTGAGAAATAGCCAAGAAGTGAAAATTCTGGCTGATTTAGTTCAAAATCCTCTTGCCTAATGGTACCCTATGGGTATAATGACATCAGAATCGAAGGCAAAGGCAATGTATATTAAGATTTCCTCACTCAGATATTCATGGAGCGAACATACTTCAAAATTGGATTATCTTTTGTCTATCTTCCTTGCCCATAAGTATTTTCCAGCACAGGAATGGGAGGCCCATAAATTCTATAACAACGATCACTAAGTGAGCTCACTAACCGGGAAACAACTTCCTTGAAGAACATGGAAGCAACCTGAAATGAAAAGCTTCAGACTAAGGACTGATAAATCACAGTTAAATGAATGCGCTTCATGTGCACGATCGTAACGGATGATTTTACCTGACGATATAGTGGCGACTGAAACTTAAAATCAACCAAGAAGTAAAGGTCACATGTTCCAGGAACAGGACCAGGCTTGAACTCCCAAACATTTATCAAATGATCAAAAAGTCCACTTTCAGATGCTGTCGTCTGCAATCGAGTAAATACCAGTCAGAAGTAAAACAACGCATCTGTTCTAACATGGAAAAAAAGGGTAAAAGTAGGAAGTGAATGGTCACAGTGAATTATACGCCATTTCCCCACTTGTTCGGTACAAATAAAACAAAAATATGCAACAGAAGTTTTACTCAGAAGGGGCAACAGATTTTAAAGATTTATGGCACTTATAAATAGTTGCAACATAAGTACATTTCTCACGAAATAATGAACACAATCTTCAAGCAATCATCTAAATACTAAAGTTAGCACGGCGTCTGTTCAACAACTATCTTAGTTAAATAAAATAGAGCATCCCAGTTAAATAGAAGAAGTTTATATCAAGATCTGCAGTGATATTCAATCATTAGAACCTGGAGCATGAGTTAGCACAGCATCTGTTCAACAGTTATCTTAGCCAAAACAGGGTGCATTTTATCATGAGCAGCAAATCCAAGTTGCTCCAAAGAACTGAGATTGAGAACTGGTTAACAGAAATCATCTGTGCATACACACACACACACACACACACAAACTCCCACCTATGCATCAAATCTTCTATTCAAGAAAAAGTTATCGTAACAAATCTAACTTGACTACTCCCAAGTCAAAGTGTTAGAAAGTTTCCAGGTTTCATGCAGCAATAATCGCATCAGCCTTCCTACATCACAAGAAAATTTTGTTGCATGCCTTATTAAAAAGGGATAGGTGAAGCTACTCCATCAGTCAGCAGCATGATGACGGTTTTACAGTATATATAATTTGATGTATGGTTTAAGGATGATCTCAGAAAAAAACTACTTTGCCAATTTGCCATTGACAACTGCAGTTCATGTTAGCGCTAAAACCAAAACCAATATTCATTCAGAAAGCAGGCAAAATAAATAGAAACATTACTTTTGTCCGGGTTGATACAGCCAAATGATGTACTATATCTTCTCGAATTAACTAATGCAACTGTTACTTCGTATTTCAGATATTCTAAGTTATAGCCAACATTGCAAGCAATTCAATGTGTTCACTACTAGTCGGCACAAGTAACATCATATCTGACTGTTTCAAGAAATTTGGCCCACATAGCCGCATTGAAGAAAGAAAAATGAAAGGCACGTCCTCGACGACAGAATTTTTACATGTTTGGATAGACTACAAGTAATCCTAGAAGAAGTAAACCTTTAGCAGATAGTTGTGAAGCAATGTGCTAAGGAATTACAACACAAAAGAAAAACGCATGACTAAGGTGACCCATGTGACAAAACTTAACTAATGCGGCTTCAACAATTAATTTGTCGCTTTCAGAACCATTTAGTTATTCTAGATATGCTTGTGTTCCATGGTATGTTATGTACTAACCAATAAAGTATGGTGATAGTACCATGATGAAGTTCTCACCTTGATATATTTTGGCTTCTCCATCTCCACATGAGAAACATAACTCTCGACAAGGAACTTGAATCCAATTTCGAGTTCAGCATCAAACGAGCCATTCTCGTGTCGCCTGATAATCCTAGACCTCTGACACCACGGCACAAAATCCTCATAGAGGTCTACTGCCGCGACAACAGCGAACATCTGCTCCGGCGAGTACCTGCACCCACCAACGCACCAACAATCAGCACCAATAATTTCCGTTTCCAAACAATCAGAGAAGGTAAAATTATGAGCTGCAAAACAATCGGTCCAATCCACCGTACCCCATGACGCGCCTCTCCTCGTAGACCTTGGAGAGCACGCTCCCCTCATCCCCGTCGCCGCATCCAAGGAAGGACCTCGTCTGCGTGCCCGCGCGCCACACCCCGCCCGCCCTCTCCGCCTCCCCGCGCGGGGGACCCGTCGGATCGGCCCACCGCCCGAGCGGCCCGCGGCCGCCGAGCCCGGCCAGCGTGGCCGCCGCGCGCCTGGCATTGGCGGGCGCCTCCCCCTTCCCGCACGTGCCGCCCTCCCCGCAGCCGCGCCGCAGGAGGGCCAGCCCCGCCCTCCTCCGCAGCACCACCAGCGACCTCGCGCCCGGCAGCATCGCGTCGGCCGCCCGCCCCCCCCCCCCCCCCCCCCCGCCGTTCCCCTTCTTCTCTCCGCCCCGCCGCCGGTGAAAACCCTAGATTCGGGCCGGCGGCGGCGTCGTCCGCGCGGGGGGGACAAGGTTCTTGGGGGATCGGTCGGTGCCGGGGAGGGAAGAGGCGTGGGGGAATGAAGCTTCGGTCGCGGAAGGGAGCGGACGGTATGGGGGCAGGGGCGCGACGAGCGCGGGCCGCGGGGTGCGTGGTGCGCTGGCGGGGCGGGATGCCGCCTACGATCTAGCGCGACCAGGAAGAGGACGACTCGGACTCTCAATGCGATTGGCGACCGCGTCACGAGTATCACATGCAGGGAGACTGGGACGCGTGGCGTGGGCGTGGGCGTGGGCGTGGGCGTGGGCTCAACTGCTCAACAGGAAGGAACAGCCTCGACTAATCTGACACGTCTTGTTCCTGAGTTTTGACTTCCCTTTTGCTACTATTCAAAAGGGACGGATTAGTGAATCGACTCCAGAAGGCAGCATGAATTTTACTGAGATTTTGTATGGGTTTCTATACAGATCAGATTAGTTTTCGTAGTGATCGACAAAGTTTTTGTTTTTTAGAGGTGGCCGTTAACCAATAAAAACTAAGGCTGTGTTCGGTTACTGGGGTTAGAAACACATCTCTCTACATGAAAAACATAGCGATTCATTAGCGCGTGATTAATTAAGTATTAGCTATTATTTTTTAGAAATAAATTAATTTGAATTTTTTAAGCAACTTTCGTATAGTAACTTTTGAAAAAAGGCACCGTTTAGCAGTTTGAAAAGCGTGCGTGCAGAAAACGAGGGAGAGGGATTGAGAACTTGGAGTTCCGAAGACAGCCTAACCTGAGAACTCATGGAATCGTTTGATGCAAACCTCCTAAACACACTAGTAGCAGACTACACCGTGTTACAGTAAATAAATCCTTTTTATACAGTTGACTACTGAAACGAAATGGAACTGCCTATATGGCTTTTGAACAAAAACACTCCATACATCTTAAAAATCTTGGACTATTGAATTGCTTTGAGATACATGCAACATATTTAAATCCATGTTTTCTATGTCCCTTTTTTTGTCCCACTCGCACACCGATTTTATGTAAACACAAAGCCTCAACTGCCTCCCCACCACGCCACCGTCCGGCCTCGCCGGCTGGCTAGAAGGTGTCAACGGCACCGATGAATCCCCTCATCGTCCGCCCGTGCCCACCATCCACCACTAGCCTTTCGCCTACTGCCATCCCTCTAAGCCATGGGAAACCCCCCTTTCCCCCTCCTCATCCCACCTGTACTCCAACCCCAATTATACTGACACACCACACCATGTTACAACTTACAACGTATCCATATTTTCCGACGCAATTAGCTAAAATAAAATTGTATCGTACTGTCAAACAAGTATCGAAAGTTTGTAACTCAAGTGGCTTAATGTAGTCATAAAAGAAAAACAGGTGAATATTCATGCAAGGATAGTATGACATCTCCTTGTGATTTTTTTCCAATGAAAAGTTGCATAACAATAGTTGGAACTTGTTTGGATACTATGAAATGTCATGGAATAAAACGGCCCTACAGCAAAAGTTTAAGTGACTTTTGTTTGGTTTGTATATAATTTTTTTAAGATGATGGGTATAAATGGCCCTTAGTACGATGGATGAAACTTGAAAATAGAGAGATGGAGTGAGGAGAGAGAATGGGCTGACATGTGGAGCCCACAGAGGCAAAACAAACAATTCACCACTGCCTTCCATGCTGGCATGCGAGCTGGTGCTCCACGTCATCCAAAGTGGCAAAGAATTATGGACTTGTCTCTCTCCTATGGCAAATGTATAAAGGCAATCATAAAAATGGTATTTGGAGAGTTATCTTTCATAAAAGTGGCAAATAGTTAAATTTCCCAAATCCACACATGGATATATAAATGGATGTACTTTAAGGCAGCCTTATAACCGAATATTGAAAAAGAATAAAGCTAAAAAACCAAGAAAGAAAGCTACTAGTAAATTAAGCTTCAGATTTTTTTTTCTTTGATCATACTCTCTGTTACTATCCATCATCAACAGATCAACTTTGAATGACGTAAAAGTGGTTTGATAAAACTCTGGATAACATGGATAAAACATCAAAATCCTCCTCCACAACGGAAGAAATAAGAAAGCAGGAAGGTGATACTACAGTTAAAGGAAGAGCTCGATCCGACTTCGGGTTTGGTTGAAATTTAAGTGCGATGGTTTATTTCAATTTATTACACATTATGTTGTTGTTTTGTGAAATATATATAAACATATTCCGGAGAAGATAGCAACTAGCTCACGCAATGCTCTCCGAATGGCTTACTTAAATGAATCATATCCCCCATCTCCACACATCCAAGCTCCCACGTACAAAGGAGCAAAGCAGCGGACACTCTAGCCACCTGCTCACATGCACGGCTAGGGAGGGCATGCACAACCACGCATCGTCGCCGTCGCTTCCTCTTTTCAGCTCCTCCCTCCTTCTATGTTGTTGTTACATGTGTTTGACCATTTTGTCCTATAATTCCAACTGGCCACATCGCCACTCCCTGCCTCCCTTATATCACCACCACCACCACCACTCTTAGCTATCGATTTGGTGGATTTGGTCAAACATCCTTGAGGGGAGCACTTGAACAACTCACCCTTCCGTCATCCCTCGATAGAGTTTAATGAGTTTCCGTTGCTCTACATTTTCAATCTATAGTGCGATAGTAGAGATTTTTGCTCGTGGATGCTGGGATTGGGTCGTGACCCGTCACTTACATGTGGATCTTAATGTATCAAAGCTAGTAACCACATGCATCATACTTGACACGGTGTGTCAACTTGATACCTATGGTGCGAGACCTCATACATATAAGTATTGGTTTGGTACCCGGTTAGTATCAGATGACCTCTGGTATTGGTATCTATAAGTACTAAGTATGATATTTAGGTTCCATATCGATGTCATGAACTATCTCGTTCCTCAAATGGTACGACGTTCTATATATCTTTCCTACATTGGAAAATAATACAGAAGATGTGACTAGGGATCGGTCACCCGATCCAAATCTGCAAAAATCGGGCGCTGACGTCAGCATGACGTCAGCGCCACTCATACGTGCAAAACTACTTTAAATTAATTTTTCTCTTAAATTATTTATCCAAATCATAATTCGATTGCACCATTAAATTCGTTGCAATTAAATCTTTAAAACAAGACCACACATGGATATATTCCGACGAAATTTTTTTAGCTTATTATTGATTTTTTTTTAAAATGTTGCACAATGTTCCACCAAGTATATCGGAATTGTTTCACTAAGTAGATTGAAAATGTTTCAATCGTTTAAATCGGGTATTGTTTCATCTTATATAAAAACAATGTTTCAGCAAAAAGCGAAAGAATGTTTCAGTTCACTGCAACATTAGATCTATACATAGTGAAACACTGTGAGTACATTAGGTGTAACAAAAAATGAAACGAATTCCCTTAATACAGGGTTTCCAAAATATGTGGGTGATTTATTGCAAAAGAATGTTTCGTTCACTACAACATTAGATCTATACATAGTGAAACATTGTGAGTACACTAGGTGAAATATTTTTGGTGGATAAAAAATGAAACGACCCTTAATAGAGGGTTTCTAAAATATGTGGGTGATTTGTTGCAATGGAGTATATGGTGCGGACCAAGGTAATAAATAGCATATAGTGTGTTTATAGCGGATTAGTGTCTGGCAGCAGATTGCGGATAGCGGGCGCTATTGCGGACGCTAAGTTCCAATAGCGAAATTAAGAAAAATAACCATAAATTTAGATTGTATATCAATATTAACATAAAGTTTCACTTAAAATTTAAAATTAGACTGTTTAATTACTGCTACATTTCATAACATAAAATTTATGAAATAACATATAGATATATTAGATAAAGAAGACAAACAATGCTAAATTATTCTATCCATGCGTGAAACGCTCCGTTTGAGCATTATAGCGATCTAACAAAGTCAATAGCGGGTTGTTATAGCGGTCGCGAAGCGCTATAGCAAGCTGCTATAGCGGTCGTGGAGCGCTATAGCGGCCGCTAAGTTCCAATACGCTCTATGCAGTCCGCTACCTTGTAGCGGTAGCGGTAGAGCTCCGCTACTGCTATAGCGGGCGCTACGAACGCTATTTATTACCTTGGTGGAGACACATGGTATGGGGGGCAGAGAATGTGGTGGGGCCAGGTGCCTGCATCACGCGCGTGGGGGGCGGGGCGCGCAGGGGAGTGCCCGATCTGCTCCACCCCCGCCGGTCGCCCGGTAGCCAGCATTTCCGAAAGGAAAAAGTACGAATTACCTCCCCCCGAACTATCGCGGTCGTCCGAATTACCCCCTGAACCACAAAACCAGACATTCTTCACCCCCAACTATGCAAACCGGACAAATTACCCCCCTCGACCCAATCCACGGTGGTTTTAGACTATGTGGCGTACACATGGCAGTCCGGTCAGCATTTTATTTATAAAAAAAAGTGGGACCCACATGTCACACACACTCTCTCTCCTATCTCTCTCTCTCACTCTCTCTCCTCTCGGCAATGGCGGAGGAAGCGAGCGCGGGAAGGCGAGGCGAGCGCGACGGTCCGTCGCCCGTCGCCGTCGTCACCTCGAGCCCCATCCGCGCGCCGTCACCCCGCGCCGCCTCGCCTCCTCTGCCACCACTCTCGCCTCATCTGCCGCCGTGCTTGCCTCCTCTGTCGGAGCCGAGCGCGTGCAGGCACAGGTGCCGCCACCGCCGCCGTGGCACGAGCAGGTGGCGGCGCGGGGCATGGTGGCGGTGCTGCTCACCACGGGGATCATCCCCACACTCAACGTCTCCGCCGTGCTCCTCGCCTTCCTCGCGCTCCACGGCTGGACGCGCGCGCCCGCCCTCCTCCCCAGCGGCGGCGCCTCAAGCCCCGTCCGCGCGCCATCACCCTGCGTCGCCCCGCCTCCTCCGCCGCCGTCTCGCCTCTCCTCGAGAAGCGCGAGCTCCCGCCGCCGCTCGCCTCCTCCCTGCCCTGCCCCGCTGCTCGCCTCGCCGTCGCCACTCGTCTCGCCTCCGCGCTCGCTGCCTCCGCCGTCACCTCGCCTCGCCTCCCCGCGCTCGCTGCCTCCGCCATTGCCGAGAGGAGAGAGAGAGAAAGTGTGTGAGAGAGATAGAAGAGAGAGAGTATGACATGTGGGTCCCACATTTTTTAAAATAAATAGAATGATGACTGGACTGCCACGTGTACGCCACGTTATCCAAAACCACCGCGGATTGGGTCGAGGGGGGTAATTCGTCCGGTTTGCATAGTTGGGGGTGAAGAATGTCCGATTTTGTGGTTCAGGGGGGTAATTCGGACGGCCGCGATAGTTCGGGTGTAATTCGTACTGACGGAGCGTGGGGCTCCTCACCGGGAGACCGCGCGGGCCCCCCTTTGCCGGTTCGGCCGGGGGCGCTGGGTGAGGTTCTAAGCCCTTGATCTGTGGAATGGTTCGCGAAAGAGCAAATGCGCAAGACACGAGCGATGTAGACAGGTTCGGGCCGCTGAGAAGCGTAATACCCTACTCCTGTGTTCTGGTGGATCTGTGTATGAAGGAGTTACAAAGAGCTGGAGAGCAAGAGAGTTCAAACTCTAGAGCCCCTCTCCCTCCTCTTTTCTCCAGTCTACCAGCTCCGGTCCTCTCTCCTTTTTTTCTCCTTCCGTCCGTCCCCTCTTTTGGTAGGCATGGTCCTCCTTGTATATCTCAAGGGGATACCACATACACCATTTCTACCTACCCTTCTTTTGGGTGGGGACCCATCCTACTTTGACCAAAACTTGGCTTGTACCTTCGTCTGACACCGGGATAACCCTGTCCTCCCTCATTAATGGGCGGAGATTTACAATGGCTGCTGTCCGAATGACCCTCCGATGGGATGGGTCATACCAACCTCCACTCCGCCGGAAGCAGGTGCAACGTGGAAGCACGGTTGTTTGCTGATGACGCGACCGGCGTCAGACCAGTCACAGACCGGTCATTCTTGTCCACCACGCGTCAGTTTAGCATGCTACACGTATGCCCTTCTTCATACAATGACCTCCTTGCAATGGTTGCGATGAAGCCTGGAATGTATCTGGCCGGGGCTGACGTGCCAACTCCAGGAGTTCCCACGCCGGCTCCGGCTAGGGACGAGTGTCTGGAGGCTCTCATCATTCCGACGGGACGGGGCGAGGCGTGTGTCAGGCCGCCTGTTGCCACCTAACCCGCGATCTGACCGGTCTGTGACCGGTCACACACTGCGACCGATCACGGACCGGATAAGCATGCGCTATGCTGCATTAAATGCGGCGTGAGGCGCTCGTCCAACCCACAATAAACGCGGTTAGGTGAGCGCCGCTGTGCTCACCTAACCCACACACGTGGCGCCAAACCCTCAGGGGGTCGGGGCGCCCCAGCCCTCGGGGGGTCGAAACGGGAGCGGCCCGACCCCTCGGGGAGATAGAGGGTGGGGCGGCCTCATCACCCTCGGGCCCGACCCCCCCGAGGGGGTCAGGCCACGTGGGTGACCGCGGCTGCCCCAAACCTCTAGTCAAGATATCCCCGGTCCCATGTCACCGGCACGTACCTTTTCCTTTCCGAAATAATAGAGGAGGAGTTTTGGGTCCGGTACCGCGGTGGTGCCAACATGTTCGAAGAGACCAGCCCACATATTAGTTACGGCCTACAATAGACTTTCGGTTAACCGACATATCGCGGCCCAAGCAGATGCTTGCGCTTGCGCTACCGTCTCCGTCTCAATCCCCAATTCCCCATCACCCTTATTAATGATCCAGGATCCAGGTTTTAGCCGATCAATTTGCTCCAATCTCACAATTTCTCCGCCTTCTCGTCCTCCTCGCCGAACCACCCCCATCGACCCACACAACCAGCGAACCGGAAGGATTTCACTCAGCTGAGTTTCCTGCCTCCATCCCCACGGCGATGGCGGAGGAGGCGAAGAATCTGGAGACGGCCCGGGCCGACCGCTCCGTGTGGCTCATGAAGTGCCCGACCGTCGTCTCCCGCGCCTGGCAGGAGGCCGCCACCGCCGCCGCCTCCTCCTCCTCCTCCTCGGACGCCGCCGCTGGCGCCAACTCCAACTCCAACGCGAACCCTAACCCCGTCGTCGCCAAGGTCATCGTCTCCCTCGACCCGCTCCGCTCCGAAGATCAGCAGCTCCAGGCAAGCCGTTGATCCGTCTCTCCTCCCGGCCCACGCTGTTCGCTCCTGTTCCGTGCGCTCGGTCGATTTATTCGTGCACGTGGAGGGTGGTTTCGTTTCCCCCTTCTATTATGCTGCTTCAATTTTTAGGGTAGTTCAATGGTTGGGGCGAGATGTAGCGGTTTGATTTGGATTGGGGGACCTGTTTGATGTGGAAGGTTAAGTTGATTGGTTGCTTTATCATAGATTGCCACATTCTGAAATCCAAAACAAGACCAATGGATCATTGCTATTGATTTTGTGCTTTTAAATGCTAACACTAGACAGTTTGCTTCAATTTCCATCTCATCATTGGTTAACTCTGTATTGTGTATTTCACTGGCCATGGTGGCTAAGCAATCTTGTTGCAACTTAAACATTTTTGAATTCAAGCAATTAGTACATGTGTTGTTGCAGAATATATTTCTTTGATAAATGATTATACTACAATTCTTCTTATAGTTTTTGGGAGAAAAGCCCAAAGCAATTTGGAGGCATAAACCAACTACTGTTTGAGCGTTTGAAACCAAAATGAATCTTAAAAGGTTTTAACAGAATGTAACTTTGTAATTAACTTCAAATGATTTGTTATGTTGCAGCATAGTTAGGATTACATCCTTGTTTCCTTGACGTTTAGATATGTTCATGCCTTAAAAGCAGAAGCTACTGTCATGGATTTGCATTTTCTGTATTCTTGTATAATAGTAGAAATTGACTTACGGCTTCTATACTTGTACACACACCCAGTGCCTGTTTCTTATATGTTGTTAGTGAAATAACAGTTCAAGATGGAGATGGCTCAAACAGGCAATGGCAATACACCAAAGAGTTACTCCTTGAACATGTTCAAGGATTTTGTGCCAATGTGTGTCTTTTCTGAATCCAACCAAGGTAAGAATACCAGGCTTTCTCTTTATTTACGATGCTTGCATGTATTTCTCCTTTGATATGTGAGACTTTATCACTAGCAATTTCTCATGGTTGATGTGCAGTTCATTTTTATTCCAAATACAGTCTAGGAATAGCGTTGTTCAAATGGTCTACTAAGCCGTATTACTAAGCTATATCGAAGGAATTGGTGCACTACCTGTAACTGTATACTTGCTGGTTAGGCTGCTTAATTGGATTGTTTAGGTCATGCGACCACTACTAGGTGGGTGAGCAACAAAAAAATACATATTGCCCATTTTTGGAATATCATCTGGGAATATGTAAAATATAATCTGCATTCGTACTTTCCTAGACTTTAATGCACTGAGCCAGATGGGAGAGGTCATTTAGTTATAGAGTTCTGGGTTATGATCTCACTATTTGTATGGGGGTGTCTGTGGGTAATTGCCTTGGATCAGGTTCTGATTACTATCTACATATTGGCTTTTCATCAAACGTTGATGTTGTTACTATCAATATTTTTTTTTGTTCTAATACACTATTGAAACTGTGTTCTCAACGTATGAAACTATCTTCTTTTTCTATAAGTTTGTATATGATCTGGAATTTTTATCGGAACACATTATTGATGTTTCAATTCTTAATTTACTCAATTTCTGCATTACTGAGGACCTCCTTGAAGTTCTGCTGTCTGCTGGAAACTTCATATGGCTTGCGTCTACCGACATATCTTACGTGCATTCATCACATAGGTGTTTGCATAAAGATTTGGTTGGCACAGGATCATGCTACATTGAATATCCCATATGTGGTTGATGAATTCTTTGGTTTTAGCTTTGCTAATTCTGTTACGTGGAAGAAGTTCAAGGGCAACAAACATTTTCTTTTGTCATGTTCTTGCCATTTCAACAATTTTTTCATTCAGTTCTTTTTGGTGTTATACCTTGTAAAGTCTTATTGGCATTTTATTTGCTGTATTTTGAAGTCATTGTGGTATAATCTCCTCTACTACATATGCTATAGCGACCTTATGGGAAGGACTATGCTTCTTCATTTCATATTTGGGTTAGGAAGGCTTTGTGTTGATAGTATTTTTCACGGCTTGAAGATAACATGGATTGCAATCTGTTTGCTCTGTAAACATAGTATTAACTTATTTGATACACTAAATCATCAACTCCTTGTTACAGGGAAGCTTTCATGCGAAGGGAAAGTCGGGCACAAATTTGACATGGAACCGCACAGCGATAATCTTGTGAACTATGGGAAGTTATGTCGTGAGAGGACTCAAAAATCTATGATTAAAAATAGAAAATTGATGGTAGGAGTTTTTATGATATTATATATGCCATATTGATCTGCTTCATATGGTAGAAGTATTTATTGTACAGATTCACCTTTTGCCCTTGTCTGTTTTTAGGTACTTGCGAATGACAATGGAATGAGCATGAGGCCGTTGCCTGGCTTGGTGGGTCTGATGTCTTCTGGTCCAAAAGTAATCTTTCTTCAGATAACAATGCCATGTTTCATGTATTTTTTTTCCTATGTTGATAGTTTATCGGATCCTGTTAACTAGCACAGTTCCTTTTCCCCTCAACTATCAACTGCTCCGCAGAAACATTTTAACTTACTTTTTTTAAACCAATCTTTCTATTGGCAATGTAGATCTATAATGAAGGGTCTATAATCTATTGTAAGTTTTTTTTTCCCAGCAGAAGGAGAAGAAGCCACTACCAGTAAAACCATCAGACATGAAAAGAACGAGAAGGGATCGCAGGGAACTGGAAAATATCTTATTCAAGCTTTTTGAGAGGCAGCCGAATTGGTCTCTTAAGAATCTCATGCAAGAAACTGATCAACCAGAGGTATTTTTTCTCAAGTTATCCTAATTATGCCGAGGGTGGAGCATTTGTTAAGAAATTGCTAGCACCAACTCTAGTTATTGCATGTTCTGATATCAAAGCCTCAACTCTCCCGGCTTGTTTCTGTGCAGCAATTCTTGAAGGAGATATTGAATGATCTGTGTTTCTACAACAAAAGGGGTCCAAATCAAGGGACGCATGAACTTAAGCCTGAATACAAGAAATCTACAGAGGACGCTGATGCTACTGCTACTTAGAAGTCTTATGCTTCGGTCTACTAGATAGGAGTCCTCGTCCAGTGTGGACTCCAATCCGTTACTTGCTGCGTTCAAGGAAATCTTGGATACTTCGTTTATAGTTTGTTTCTTGAGAAACATATTTTGTACGCATCAAGCGATACATCTTTTGGTGTTACTGGCGGCCATATCTTAGACCCAGATTTCGGGGACTCGATATATTCGTGTCCATCAGAGTTTAGAAACAAGGATGTTGAAATTTGTGTGTATAATGTATTTTAGCTCTTCTAGGCAAACTAACATGATGATTTTCATGATCATTAAACACCTTGACCTACTCTTCCCTGCATATCCCTCTTTTCCATGGATGTCAGGCTGGGACGAAACCAACTGAGATCCCTTGCAGTACTGCAATAGTACCACACAAATTTTTGACCCTTTTAAAAAACTAATTTTAATTTTACAAATAAACCGTTGCCAAAACTTATTTCAAAAATGATACTTTTTTTCAGCGTCAAATCACCCGGCGCTGAATTTAGACACCTCAGCGCCACGTCAACTGGCGCTGAATGCCGTACTATCGCGGATGGGAGGCTAAGTCAGCGTGCTAACGCACATTCAGCGCCACGCTATTTGGTGCTGAGGTGTCTAAATTCAGCGCCACATGATTTGGCGCTAAACAAAAGGTTATTTTTGAAATAAGTTTTGGCGGCGGTTCATTTGTAAAAATAGTTTTTGCAAAAGGTCAAATTGTCAAAATTTATGAAACTACCATGTATATCTTGTTGCATAAATAGATCTTGTCATCATTTGTTAGGCCCTGTTTAGATTTTAATCTTTTTTTTTCAAACTTCTAACTTTTACATCACATCGAACTTTCTTACACACACAAACTTCCAACTTTTCTGTCACATTATTTTAATTTTTTCAAACTTCTAATTTTAGCATAGAACTAAACACAGCCTTAGCGCCAAAATCCGGGCAAACCTTGGCATAGTCAAAATTTTGATAGGTGCAATTTGTTGTTTTCAAATTTCGTCGAGATCACAAAATTTGGTACCTCCCGAACATCGAACTCGCAACGAATCAACGAGTCGAGCTCATTCTAGTGCAGATGAAACTATAGATAACTGGATATACCGTCTGTTCCATTCCAAAATGCTCAAATGAGAAACTCAGCAACGCCCGGCGCCGTCGGCGAGTTGGCCGAGCTGGTCTTGCCGTGGCTGCCGCCGCAAGACCTCGCCGCTGCGGCCTCCGCCAGCCGCGCCCTGCGTGCGGCCGCTTCCAGCGTCAGCGCCGGCCGCGCCGCCGACGCGGCGCACGGGCTGGAGCCTCACCCCATCCCCTTCGACAACCTCGTCGACGGCAAGCCCTACGCCTACTTCCTCTACACCCCCTTCTCCCTCACCCCGTCCTCCGCCTCCGCCTCACCCCGCCGCGCCCAGCCGTGGGGGCGCACGTGGGCACGACCGCCAGGCCCCACATGGCCTCGCTCCGACCTAGGCGGGTTCCCCTCGTCCGGGTGCGCGTGCGCTCAGGGGGCGTGCGGCGGCGCGCGGGGGTGCCCGTGCGCTGACCCGGAGGCTGAGGCGGTCGGCTTGGGGTCGGAGGCGGGGATGGGGAGCCTCAGGGAGTGCGGCGACGGGTGCGCGTGCGGGCCCTCGTGCGGGAACCGGCGGACCCAGCTCGGCGTCACGGTGCGGCTGCGCGTCGTGCGCCACCGGGAGAAAGGGTGGGGGCTGCACGCCGCCGAGGTCCTTCGCCGCGGGCAGTTCGTTTGCGAGTATGCTGGTAATGCAACTCTTTCCCCTCTACTCCGTATAAATTATAAAATGATCTGTAAAATTTATCACACCATAAATGCTCCATGCCAAATTTGCCTTGTTATTGCACCAGTGAATCGTAATGAGGAAAGCGATGTCATATGTTAATTCTTTTACCGAAAGTTGTTGATTTCGTTTCATCCTTCTATATCCATTAGAAATGGCGGTGTAGAAAGATATTACAGAAAATGAATGGTTTGGGAGATGCCTCTGCGTTCCTATGCAGCTGGGCTCTGGTTGCATCTCAACATGGCATAGTAGTGCTATATATCTCTCTCCTTGTATTTTAGGTGGTTGTGTTGTTGTGTTGTTGCTATTCGATCATTTCAACGCATCAAGGAAATGAGACAACTCAATAATTAGTTGCTCAGAGTGCAGCTCTTTTCTTCTCATATGGATAGCCCATGTTCCATTATTTTCTACAACAAAGATAGGTTTTAACATTCCTTTTATACATATAATCCTAGTTCTTAGAGGGCAAGCTCTTACTAATGTACCCAGGAATTCATGTCAAGAGCATTTGCAGTCAGGCATCATAGGAGATTAAAGAATCATGCATTTTGGGTGTAAATGTGGTTGGAAATAGGTATCAGTATACATAATTAAGGTTATAGATTTAGACTAAGAAATATCAAGTTTCCGGCTTATCGGAACACAATAGTTCAGACATGCACCGGCAATACAGCTTTGCAAGAGGTCACATGGGGATTTACAATTGCCTTGTCATTATTTGTGTACTTTGTTGTTAAGAAAACTGTAGTTTGGAAATGAACACCCTGGGTCATTGAAGATTGTTGTGACTGCTCATCATCTTTATCACCTTGCCAAATTCTTATGCGGTTGCCATAGGCTTACTCATGCTTTCCATCAGTATTCATTAGGATTAAAGTGTCATTCTTTTACTAAAACTGTAATATGCTCATTATTTGTGCTTTACTAGCATTTGAATTCTTTTCTGGGTAGGGAAGATTTGCACTGCAAATTGTTTACACTGTTTCAGTTGTTCTTAGGTTTGGTTGTTGTAGGCTTGTAGCAGGAGGATTGACTATATCTGGCCATCATTTCATAGTTATTAACAGGAAAGATGATGCAATGGTTTTATGATTTGTAATAATTGGATGGGGCTGATTGGACATTATCCTTATGCCATCTCCGTTTAAACTCATTTTTTTTTGTGATTTCCATTTTGCTCTGCTCTATAATTTGAGTATTTGACTATTGGAATTGATATCTAAGCTATTGTAACTTACTTTGACTATCATGTCTATTTTTTATTATAGGTGAGCTTTTGACAACTGAAGAAGCAAGGAGGCGGCAGGGGCTATATGATGAGCTTGCCTCTGTCGGTAAGCTCTCTCCTGCACTCATTGTCATACGGGAGCATCTACCTTCTGGAAAAGCATGCCTAAGAGTTAACATTGATGCAACGAAAGTGGGGAATGTGGCTCGTTTTATCAATCATTCGTGTGATGGAGGCAACCTGCATCCTGTCTTAGTTAGGAGCTCAGGCTCATTGCTCCCAAGACTCTGCTTTTTTGCTGCTAGAGATATCATCGAAGGAGAAGAGCTCACCTTCAGTTATGGTGATGCTAGACTTAGGCCGAATGGCTTGCCGTGCTTTTGCGGTAGCTTGTGCTGTTCCGGCCTACTTCCTTCGGAAGAGACATAATGCCATCATTTGTAATTGAGAATTTCCTGATGTGGTGCTGCCAGAATAATATTGGCATGGCATCAGGACGAGTAGACGGTACCTCAGTACCTGATGAGTGATGACTAGTGCTTTCACAAATTCAGTGTACACTATGCATGCTGCCTTGGCCGTTTTCATGACCCATTCTGTAACTTTTATCTGACACTCTGAGAAAACGACTTGCAAGCTATGCATTCTTTGCTCATAGCATAGTGTACCGCAAGTTACCGGAGGGTAGAGAGTCTTTTGGTAGGGATGTTCTTAAATCCTACTAGTAAAATGCAATTCATGCTGGCAGTTGGGCATGCATTTCCCGCTTCAGGAGTCAGGAGGTGATGAAGATGAATCCTTTGACAAAGAAGACTCCTGGAGAGAGTGGAGGACTCAACAGAAAAACAACCTTGTGCCGTTGCAATCCTTTATCCAAAGCACACTTCCGTTTCCGCTTTCCCTAGCGTTTGTTTCCTCTGTGCAGCAACCGCAGCTTATGCCAATGCCACCATTGCCCATGCCCCATGTTCCATTTGCACTAGCTTTGCAAGTGTTGTCAGAGTAACACGATCGGGCTTCGCATATGTGCTGTCCTATGATCCCGTATTCCTGATCCATATGTCAATTGAGTCTTTTACTGAAGAATCCTAGGATTTTGCTGTCTGAGCTGTGTGCCTGTGAGCTTGAAGCATCCCGGTACATGGCAGCATCACTTGGGGTCTTGGGCTATATGGCATAAACGACTCCCGAGCTAACACCCTCCTCTTCCCTCTCCCCGTGAGATCCGCACGCGCAGCACCCGCATGAGGAGCGCCTCCGCGCGACATGGCCCTCATAAATCTTGCGTGCCTCGGTAACAAGACGATTGGCCACGCCGCGCCGCGCGCGCCCACGCGCCGGGCCGCCACGGCTCAGTGGCGCGCCACGCGCGCGCCCATTTTAAAAACCCCTCACTTCCGCCTTGGTACCCCCGCGCGCGGGCGCTGGCGCTGGCGCACACGCACGCACACATGCATGCAGCGCAGCCACCCGGCAGCAGCAAGCGCCGGGGCGCCGTGGAGCGGCCAGCTAGCGGCGCGGGCCTGCAGGCGGAGGAGGCGTCGTCGGCGGGGCCCGGGGCGCCGTGCGGGGCGTGCAAGTTCCTGCGGCGCCGGTGCGTCCCGGGGTGCGTGTTCGCGCCGCACTTCAGCGGATGCGGCGGCAGCGGGGTGGGGGCGGGCGTAGGAGGGAGAGGGAGGGAGCGCGGCGCGGCGGAGTTCGCCGCCGTGCACAGGGTGTTCGGCGCCAGCAACGTGGCGAAGCTGCTGTCCCGGGTGCCCGCCGCGCTGCGCCGGGAAGCGGCGCGCACGGTCTGCTACGAGGCCCAGGCCCGCATCGCCGACCCCGTCTACGGCAGCGTCGGCACCATCCTCGCGCTCCAGCACCAGGTGGCGCACACGATCTGTTTGAAAACTGGAACAGCAACGAACACACACAATTCACAGCCTCCTCTACCAGTCATAAATCAAGAACAAATTCATGTCACAAACACAAACTGACACAAATAATATTGACCCCTATGAAAAATTCCGTTCTTCTGATTCGAAACTCCATTACGCGAGACGACAGGTATCTCTCCTGCAAGGGCAGCTCTCCGTCCTGGAGTCTCAGCTCTTCAACCTGCGGGTGGCCTTGGCGAGCGCGCACCCCGACACGCCGCCGCAGCACTTCGTCGTGCTGCAGCCGGCGCACTCCGCGGCGTCCACGCTGAACCAGGTGGTGGTGAACTACGACGACCTCCCGCACGCCGTGGATTTCATGGACGCGGAGCCCGCCGCGCTGAGGGGACTAGAGTCTCTCCAGCTCTCGCAGCCACTGCAGCGGGAGGAAGACGAGGGCCACCGAGACATGAACCTCTTCTCGGACAGTGTAGGACAACGGCAGCTGTAAAATTACCTGTGCAATTGCATGATTAGGTGTCTCTGTGGCTAGTACATTCACTCTTGAGTTGGACCACATTGTGTGATTTGAGAATTGCGTGGGATCATCAATCATGAATATCCGTATTCTAATTTGATCAATTCCTTCACGCGAATTTCATGTTCGTGAAAATTATACATTTTATATGCGCCTTTTTACCCTGTGAATTATGAAAAAACTATGAATGGTAGCGATCCAAACTAGGAGCCAAAAATGAAATAATCCAGTGTTCACAAAAACCGATCCGTTCTCATCAAAACCGCACTGTGTTTTGTGAAAGTGAAACTATTGGTTGTTGATTTCTAAAAACCAATCAATTTTTGCTGGTTTTCGCACGATGTTGACTTAAAGTCAGTCCTTTTAACTGATTTTCGGTATGTTTAGCATAAACTCGTGGGAAATATCAGAAGATGAAGATAGAGAGGATGACTTTCATGGAGAGAAGCATCAAATGTCTATCCTATGATCCTATCCTATCCTATCTACACAAATCTTCTCATTTACACACCAATTAACAAATTTTATTAAAAAAATATAGAAAAAAATTGTACAAACACTTCTAATAGTATTATACTTATGTGTAAAGTCATAATCTCAAATTCATTATATTTTAGCCAAAAAAGGATAAAAAAATTATAACAGTTTTGAGAGTATAAATATGTGAGATTCTGTCTTTTTTGTTGCTCCCTGTATATAATGGATTTCAAGATGAGACTTCACACATAAATACAATACTACTAAAAGTATATATATAATTTTTTTTCTAGATTTTCTAGTGAAATTTAGTAGTTGATGTGCATAATATGGGGGTGTTTGGGAGAGACACACAAAACCATAAATCCCTAGAAGAGGGACTTATATTTTTATATTTTTGAGAGAACACCTCCTATGTATACGAGAAAACTTATGTGCATAATATAGGTTCCTCTGCAGAAGCTACAACTAAATGCAGAGGATTCGGCTCCCACACTATCAAAGTACTGGAAGTTTTAATAGATGAGATCTCGTGGGCTCAGTCCAAGTCCAGTGCAGGGGACCAAAGAAAGGCACTACTCCGTCGTGAAGGCTAAAAAGGGAGGGGGATCGAGGCGAGAGGAACGCCACCGAACCCAAACCCCATCCAATCAAAAATTCGTACGGGAGAGCTCTCGATTTGATCGCCGCGACCGCGAGGATGTACAAGTCGCGGCTGCAGGAGCTGTGCCAGCAGCGGCGGTGGGCGCCGCCGGAGTACACCCACCGGTGCGCGGGCCCCGCCCACGCCCCGCTCTTCGGCGCCACCGTCTCCGTCAACGGCGTGGAGTTCCGCACGCCGGAAGACGCCGCGCGGTCGGCCAAGGAGGCGCACAACATCGCCGCCAAGGCCGCCTTCGACCACCTCTCCTCCCTCCCGCTGCCGCCGCCTCCCCCTCCCTCCGGTGAGTGCCATCTTCCGTGCGGAAAAAAATAAAAAAAAAATCCCCCGCATTTCTTTGTTCCTTGGATTTTTCGGTGGAACCTTCCTTCATATAGGAATCGAACCTCGGGGAGCGGTAGGAGGACTAGATTTGGGTAATTTGGTTGCTTGTAGTTTGAGTTAACTGCGAATTCTTTACCTTTGATGGGAGGCCTGAAGAAAGAGGCACGAACCATTTGGTTATTTACTGGGATTTTTTTTGTGTGAAATGGCAAACCGAGAGTTAGTTTCTTGGCGACTGCAAAGTTTACAGGTGAACAGTGAACTGATTACAGATTAATGGTAAATTGCAGCGAAGGGAAATGCTCAATTGCTCATCAACTTCCCACTTGAAAAAGTAGGAGTAGTACAAAGCGTTCATGTAGGTAGATGTACTCACCGGTACACATCAGTCTTTGATTTGGCATTGAAGAAGAGTTACTGCACTCCACTCAATGCCCCAATGAAATCTTGCACCATAATAGCTAGTCGATTCCTGAAGGTAGCAAAAGTTTGGTGAGAGCATAAAGAACGGATTGTCTTTTCTTTGTGGATCAGTTTTTTTCATAAGTTCATGTGCATCTTTGTTGATTATTATTACTAAACTATAGGAAGGAAGGTCGAGCACATGCATGGGAACCTTATTTAATGTTTCATGAAACTCCTTTATTTTAAAGAAGTAAAAAAAACCCCGCTAATGCTTATATATGCATAATATGTGTGAGCTTCTTTTTGTGTCTGTTACTCTTGTTTTGAACTTGTGACATAGATTTTTTTTCCGACTAGTCATTGTATATTTGAATATTATCATTGGAACTTCTAAAAGATGCCTTCGAACAAATATATATTTGAAACAACTTATTTTGGCTTGCGTAATTAGCTGCATTGTCTAGCTTATTTGTTCAGCGCCTGTGATCTGCGAAAAGGATCACATGTGTTTGTTTGTGGAACAATTTAGATGTTGGGGATATGTACATTATCTTTTTTTTTCTAACTGGTGTACAAGCACTGACATGGAAAGGTTGGATTTAATTGAGTTCGTGAATGTTGGAAATGGAGATCTCGGCTTACTTTGTCCTAATTGTCCTGATCCTTATAACATAATGTTAGAAAACACTTAGATCAGATGGGAAAATGATAAAACTATAGAGATTAAATAGATCCATTATTAAATAACACTTCAATGTTGCTACTGTAATGTGCCCGTGAGGACTGTCGAAATTAATTAGCTCATATTTCTCATCCTTCTTGTGCATCCATGTTAGATTGCAATGAAATACAAAGAACACAATTTTATGTTCAGTAAAAACGATCTATACATTGCAATATTCTTGATCAATACTAGTACATTACGCTAAGTTCTTTCTTGTGTCTTGTCGCATGCTACTGAATGTTTACAGTATTGCAAATGTATTGCAGCGAATGTCGCACAGGCATGCACATCAATATATTGCAGTATGAATCATCATTTCTAAAAGACATGGATGTGTGCCTGTAACTCAAAGTCTAAACTATTATAGTAGCATTCCATGCTGAGATGTCCATGCAGTAATCTTTAGTTTGTTGTCTTCTGGTGAAACCATTTTCCATGCACTATGGTCCATGTGGCTTGAATTAGTATCCAATACCTGTTATAATCTGAACTATGGTCCACAAAATCAACGGTTGGATGTTGTTCTTTCTCTGGGATTTTCTATCGTACTTATCTATTTTTTTCTTAGGGATTCCAATCGATGTTTGATGGACTTTTAGTATATAATAGGTAACATTTGTAGTTGCGGGGTCTAAGAGCACCGTGTACTGGCATGGTGTAAGAAAATTGTTGTTTTTCACTTTTATATTCTCTATATTTCTCATATTGAATGATTTTTCCTATTGCAGAAAACCAATCTTCTTACAAAAGTCAGTTGCAAATTTATGCTCAGAAGAAGGGCAAACTGTTGCCTTCGTACCAAACAATTCGGGAAGGTCCAGGTCATGCATCTCGGTTCAAGTCAGTAGTGACTGTAGATGGCAAAGCATTTGAAAGTCCGGAATACTTTCACACAGTTAAGGAGGCTGAATCCGCTGCAGCAAAACTTGCTCTTATGTCCTTACCTCAAGAAGCAAGCTCATCGGAGCAAGTGCCGGTTAGTCAAGCTTATTACAATTCACTATTTACTAACGAACCATCAATGTCTCTTTGTATTATCAGTAGACTTTGGGCTTATGTTTTACCTATTTTAAGGGGGTAGTTAGAGAATACCCAGGAGCAATGCAATAAGTAAACCAAAACCATTAACTTGTTCCTCTGGTACATACTGAAACAGTGAGTTTTGGTCTACCTTAATTGTACAATGTAAATATAGGGGGAAATACTTTTTTAAAGGGAATCCTTGACTCCTTGAGTGCTTATAAATAAAATAATTACCAAAGTGTATGTTCTAGTTATCTAGTATGCAGTAAAACAGTGCTTGCTCAATTTCCGTACTAATTTGATGCCTTTTTCTACCTTATAGGTCCAGCCATTGTCATACAAGAATCTTCTACAAGAATTAGCTCAGAAACATGGCTTTTCCTTGCCTGTCTACAGCACAACTTCAGATGGATCAGTGCAGGTACCTATGTTCAAATCAACTGTGGTATTTCAGGATGGAAGTTTTCAGGGAGAACCAGCAAATACTAAGAAGCAAGCAGAGATGAATGCTGCTAGGGTTGCTTTTCAACATTTTGAAGACAGTAAGTCATTTAAGCTACTGAAATAATGAGACTCGGATTAGGAGCAAACCTGCCAAGTACCTTTAGGGTTGTAGTTCTCTTGACTAGTTTGTTACAAAACTGGTATTTCAATTTAGAAATTTTGTTTTAGTTAAATTCGACTCTGCCAATTATTATCTCAATATTTTGAAACATTGACTGCGGTACTAGCCAGTATCCTAGTATGTGTTGGGTACTTGGCAGCTCCAATACATCAGCTGTCATACCAGACTTTACCTTCAAGATCATCTATAATTATTATTATTTTTGTGTCTTTTAGGAAGAAAAAATGCTCTTTCTTCCACTGTTCTAAGAGGACCGCATTTGGGACAAGGAACAGTGCACATATCTGCTGGACAAGTCAAGATTGCAGAACCTGTTTTTTCAGTTCCCCTAGCATCAACAGCTACAAGCCACAGTGCAACTGGTGCTAGTGAGCTTTCTTGCTACCTTCCTTTTCCCCTTCTGTTCATGTTATATTTGCACTTAAAATAATTGGCATGCAGAAACTTAGCTTAGTGTGGGTCTTCTTTTGAATCCATTTTCTGGTTCGATGTACTGTTTAAGAATGTTATATTTCAATACAAGTATTCAACATCTAGTTACATACTTAGTTAATTGTGAATCTTATTCATTTAGGAGGTACTAATGTACTGTGTCTGGTTTTAGAATTGTTGTATATGCATGAATGCATCCCATATTCTTTATTGTGCCATTGGCATGAGCTTAATTTCTTCTGCTTTGCTGTGGCTTTTCTTCAGTGATCATGCATTCCTGCTGCAATTGGTCATGGTATTAGTTAACAAGTTCTGCATGCCACGAAACACATATAAATCATTTACCTTTGCTTTTGTTCTACTTTTGTATGGTTGTTAGTTCTCTTATGTGCATTTGGCATGCTGTGAGCCTGTGAATCAGTGATCTTGTATGCTTCATTTTGCGTATATGAAACTCTTGGACTATTGTGGTTATGTGCTTTTTCTGTATGGTTAATTTGCAGCAGATCGTGATTATCACTCCCTTGGCTCCACTAATCCCCTTCCAATTGCTAAGTCTACAAACTGCGCTGATGTACATATCCAACCTTGTGAGTTCAAAGATGAGAAACCGGCCTTTCCAGAGCCAAAGACCGTGCTTGAAGTAATGGACTCGTCTCCGGAGCTCACACCGTTGGAAGATGCCTACTCAGCCCCTGTAGCCTCAACCAGTACTGTCAGTTCTAGTGGATGCGGCTCTGACCCCTTAGCCTCAGCCAGTACTGTCAATTCTACTGGATGCGGCTCTGTCCCCTTAGCCTCAGCCAGTACTGTCAGTTCTACTGGATGCGGCTGCTCCTTGTTAACTAACCGAGTCCAGGTCTATCCACGCCGTCCTGACCTGGTATTGCCGGAGGGCGCGACCGTTCTTCCTTTCAGTGACGATGTTTGGGTGGCAGTCAGCCTACCTACTCTCAACCATTAAGGTATTCTGAACTTCGCAATTTTGCCTCAAATTTTAACTTGTTCCTGTCCGTTGTCTGCTCGCTAATGAAGTTGTTCCCTCTCCAAATGCAGGCAGAAGAAAACTACGCCTTAGGAACGTTGCGGTAGACAAGAACTGGAGCCGGTGCTTTTGTGAAGTTGTAGCTTCTGCCAAGTTTAATTTACCTCAGGCGTAGTGCTAGCTGGCAAACGGAACATGTCCATGCTGCAGGAACCATGGTTATTAGCTTCGATGTTTAGACGGATGAACTCTTGTATCGTATCTACCTAATTAGTTGCCCAACTATCTTAGCAGCAACGTGAATTGAACTTCTATTATAGTTCCCAACCTTAATTAACCGTGTTATATGTTTTTTTTATATAAAAAAACAACTTAACTTTGTTGGACTATCGGTTGTTTGAGGTTTTCGTGCTTCCTTGCTGAATACATCATTTTTTTCATTTTGTTGAGACGCTGAGTTGCTGATATGCCTATGAAACTTCCATGCAGGCATGTCAAAGGGCATTTTTTTCCTTCATATTTTCTCTAGCCTCCAGTTGAGAGACAATTTCCAAGAGGAAAAAGGGCTCCAGTTTAGAAATCGATCCCTGTTTTAAGGGACGTTTGCATGAATTTCCTATGCAAGATAATGTTCTAAACGTGCCTGGAAGGAGTCCCCGTTATTGCTTTGCCATGTTTCTTCTACTTTCCCCAAAACACCGTGCCGACTGGCGAGCGTGCGAACGGGGCTATATTGCATATATCCGGTTGGATAAATAGGGCGGGTAAAAAATATCTTTCTCTAAAAAAATGTGGTTATATAGGGAGAATTTACTATTTGCCACTCTCTCAAAATGCCAGTGCTCAAATGCCACTCTCCCAAATTTTCATTCCCAAATGCCACCCGGGCCCATATGTCAGCCTCACTCTCTATTCAAACAAAAGTGATGCGGGACCCGATGATGAGTGAGGCTGACATGTGGGCCCGGGTGGCATTTGGGAATGAAAATTTGGGAGAGTGGCATTTGAGCACTGGCATTTTGAGAGAGTGGCAAATAGTAAATTCTCCCTGGTTATATATGACTTTGGTCGTATACGTAATACGAACGTGGATACGCCTCCATATATCCCGCCTTCCAGCTCACAACACAACACAGCAGCATTAATGACGCCGGTCTACCCAGTCCAACGGTGCGCGTTAACCACCGGACACCACAGCGAGCAGAGCGCCGCTGTTCTCTTCCGCTTCTCTCCCTGAGCTCGGCCTCGTGTCACTGACGTCGTGTATGAGAGGAAGGTGGTGAGCTCAGCAGCTCAGGCTCAGCTCGCAGTAGGGAGCAGACGCCGGCCGCATCGCCCCCCTTCGCGTTTCGCTGCTCCGAGGTAAGGGGAGCAAAAAAACCCCAACTTTACTCTTCTAACCTCGCTTCCAAGTTCCAAGCAATCACCACGGCCGCCGGCCACAGCTGCTGCATGTTGCTCGCCTTCCTAGATCGGTTAATATTGTACTAGGAGTGAGATTTGGGCGGTGTCACTTCTCGCCCTTTTTTTTTTCTACTATGGATTTGGCGGTGGCCGTGACAGTCTGTAGAAGATACTCCGGTTGGCTATGGGGGAATTCTGTCTTTAAAGACCAAGGGAATGTTTTTGACATTGATGGTTTTTTGGTCGCTGGGTCATGTCCATTGATCTGTTGAGTTAGTTTATTTGGGGTTTATTTGAGCACAGCGACGGGTGATGATGCTAGGAGTATCAATTTAGCTTTTTTAATATATTTTGCTGGGAAGTGGGAATTAGTGATACAGTTCTTCACATGCATGGTCTGAAGGTCACGATCATTGACCTGCCGAAAACGCCTTTTGTGCCCAGTGTAGTACCTGAGGTACCTCTGTTAGCCTGTTTATTGATGTTTGGACATGTAAAATGCACTTGTATGGATAGTAGTTCTGATTTGGGGGTGGGGAGGCTAAAGTGAATGCAAATTCTCAATGTACTTACATCTGTTTTTAAGTGCATTATGGCACATAGACCTGGAATTGCACATGTATGGACAGTAATAGAGAGGCTAAAATGAATGCGATCGCTCCATGTTTTATTTCCCCTCTATGGAAGACCAAGCATGCAAACAGAATGCATGATATGTGACTAATATAAGCTGGAAGAACTAACCGTATTTTTTCTGAATTCAAGGTGAAACGGCAATGCATGATTGGTGCTGTGTCAGCCTCAGTCCTTGATTATTTCCACAGAGAAAACGCATAATGCGCCTTGTTTCTAGGAAGTTAGTCAGGGCTTAGTCCTAGTTTTGCAAATTCACATTGAGGCACTTCATTTCCCGATCTTCTTTCTTGATTTTAGCTTTCTGCCATGCTACTTTTGTTGATTTTCACCAGGACCTATCAGGTTAAGAATTCGGGAGAAATATTTGGAAATTCTCAGGCATGATATGTCCCAAAATTTCTTTGGCATGCGTTCTTCTGCTCCTATGGTTTACCTCAACGGGAGATGCAGCATACATGAAGTACCTGGATCCAAAGCAACCCACCAACACTAGAATCAAGGACCTTATCAGTAGGATGACTCTTGCAGAAAAAATTGGCCAAATGACACAGATTGAACGTGGGGTTGCATCTGCAGATGTCATGAAAAACTACTTCATAGGTAAGTCCTTTATCAACTCTTACTAAGTAGATCTGTACGTAAGTGAACTTTATTTGACTGACATGTGGAATATTTGCTGTCTTGCTTCTGATGAGGTTGTTTGAAATAGAAGAATAATGATTAGTGAAGCCTTCTTCTGACACTATTGAGCTAAAGCTACCATTATGGCATTGTCATCTGCAAAGTTGTGGCTATGCGCACCTCAATTATAATTTTTTGTGTTGTTTTCTAGGTAGTGTATTGAGTGGTGGTGGAAGTGTCCCTGCTCCCCAGGCTACTCCTGCAGTTTGGGTGAACATGGTAAATGAATTCCAGAAAGGCGCCTTGTCAACACGTCTAGGAATACCTATGATCTACGGCATTGATGCAGTTCATGGTAATAACAATGTCTACAATGCCACCCTATTTCCTCACAACATTGGGCTTGGAGCTACAAGGCATGTGTTCTAATAATCTATACTTTCGTGTATTCATTTTGTTGTGTGAGTGCGTGTCAAACATTATCTTTCTTTGTATTAGGGATCCTGACCTCGTAAGGAGGATCGGCGAAGCAACTGCTCTTGAAGTACGGGCAACAGGCATTCCGTACACCTTTGCTCCATGTATTGCAGTAAGCACACGCACGCTGTAGTATTGTTGCTGTTATGCATTGGATCTTCAGTGGAGCATGTTGCAATTGCATGAGTATATGGCTATATGTACCATTCTTGATTCATTAAGAGCTTTGTTGACCAAAAATGCTTCATACAATTTGGTTCAGGTTTGTCGAGATCCACGATGGGGCCGATGTTATGAGAGCTACAGTGAAGACCACAGGGTAGTCCAGCAGATGACAGACATTATACTTGGTCTACAAGGAGATATCCCAATAAATCATACCAAGGGAGTTCCTTATATTGCTGGGAAGTAAGATATTTTTTCTCATTGGTGCTATAAATGATATTGTAGATGTAGGCCATTGTATGGAGCATGTGCATGTTGACCTAAATAAGTAAAGCTTATCGGCCTAAATGAGCACCTTTTATTAACAATATACTTTTTACATACATACGTATGTAATAGTTAGTGGCACATCTACATTGCAAAAGCTATAGGAAAATAATCAATGTCAATGTCAAGTTGCAATGTGAAGGTTTTCTGTCTTATGTCTCAGCTTATGGCTTTTAACAGGGATAAAGTTGCTGCTTGTGCTAAGCACTTTGTTGGTGATGGTGGAACTCATAATGGAATCAATGAGAACAACACGATCACTGATGAACATGGGCTTCTAGGCATTCACATGCCCCCATATTATGACTCTATTATAAAGGGTGTTGCTACTGTTATGGTTTCCTATTCAAGCTTGAATGGTGTCAAAATGCATGCCAATCATGATCTGGTTACTGGCTACCTGAAATCCAAATTGCATTTTAGAGTTAGTATTAATAATAAGCAACTTATTTAAAATTCCTCTTATGTGATAAAAAACTGACTCTTCATGCTCTCTGATCGCAGGGATTTGTGATATCAGATTGGCTAGGAATAGACAGGATAACGTCACCACCTGATGCAAATTATACTTACTCTGTGCAAGCTGGAATAAATGCTGGTATTGATATGGTATGTGAATTTCTTTCAAGAAGATTAGTTCATATTTTCATACTAGCTACAATAAGCATGGTTTAGTTTAATTTTAGTCAACATTCATATCATGATACTGGAAGTGGAACTGGTCTTACTACTTTTTTTTTGTGGGGGGAAGTCTTAATACTTATTATACCAATATTAAGCTGGAAGTTTATTTCGTTCTTTTTATTCAGAAAAAAAGAATACATCATTTCATCTCCATAACAGGTCATGGTGCCATTCAATTACACCCAATACATTGATGATGTGACATCTCTTGTTAAGAAGGGTATTATCAATATGAGCAGAATTGATGATGCTGTCAGGCGTATCCTTCGAGTCAAATTTATAATGGGCCTATTCGAGAACCCTTTAGCTGATCTTAGCTTCGCAGATCAGCTTGGAAAGAAGGTTGATAACTACAACATGCTGTATACTCCACAGAGTAAATTTCACAAAACTACAAATACTTTGGTTAAATTATCACAAAACCATAGATTTAAAGTGATGTAACACAGAACTACATATTTAACAATAAATTTATCACACAACTATAAGTTTAAGGCTAAGTATCGCAAAACTACAGATTTAATAATAAAATTATTATCACAAAACTACAAATTTTGGGGTTTAAATCCTTAGCACTAATGTTATGTTGGACTTATAATTGTTTTAAATTTTGTGATTAAATTATCATTAAACCTGTAGTTTTGTGATAACTTTGTTACTAAATCTGTAGTTTTGTGATATTCTACCTTAAATTTGTAGTTTTGTGATAAATTTAGTGTTAAATCTGTAGTTTTGTGATGTATCAAGTTAAATCTGTAGTTTTCTGATAATTTGATCAAAGTATCTGTAGTTTCGTGAAAATTACTCTACACAATTGACAAGTTTGGAAATCATCCAAGTAAATGAGTAACTAATTTAACAGGAGCACAGAGATTTGGCTAGAGAAGCCGTCAGGAAATCACTTGTTCTATTAAAAAACGGCAACTCTCCCAATCAACAATTCCTGCCTCTACCAAAGAAAGCTAGAAGTATCCTTGTAGCTGGAAGCCATGCTAGCAATTTGGGCTACCAATGTGGCGGGTGGTCAATTGAATGGATCGGAGGTAGTGGAGATATTACTGTAGGTATGTGTTTTTTCTATATATCATATATTCTTTTCTTTTAAAACGAATAAATCTACTATTTCAGGTTCTTATTTGCTAAATTCAACTATACTTAAGAAAAGCTATTTTGATTTTTTTTCCTTACTGTAATAATTAAATGCATTTATTCTGTTCAGGTACAACAATTCTTGAGGCCATAAAGTCCACTGTCGCTGATTCAACACATGTTGTCTACTCTGAGAACCCTGATGAAAGCTTCATGAAAAACAATGACTTCTCATTCGCTATTGTTGTTGTTGGTGAGCGAACATATGCTGAAACAACAGGTGATGACCCAGAACTCACCATCCTAGACCCTGGTACAGACACAATCCGAACAGTGTGTTCCACAGCTAAGTGTGCAGTGGTTATCATCTCTGGTCGGCCTGTTGTCATTGAACCATATCTTCCAATGATGGAAGCGCTCGTCGCAGCTTGGCTTCCTGGAACAGAAGGTCAGGGTGTTGCGGATGTACTGTTTGGGGACTATGGCTTCACCGGGAAGCTCCCACGCACTTGGTTCAAGTCTGTTGACCAGCTGCCCATGAATGTTGGTGACCTACACTATGATCCACTCTTCCCTTTTGGTTTTGGTTTGACAATAAATTCATCGCAGCCAGGGTAAGTAATTTCATCAATCATCCACACTAATGCAGCTCAAAATCTAATCCTAAAAATCTGAAAGGCACACTAGTTCGAATCAATGCTTTGTGGTTTGACCTTCATATTGTTTCATGTTTTCAGGTTCTCTGGTGCTGACAGACTGAGAGATAGGAATGGGGGGATGATATACGTTGTGTTGAGTTTGGTACTGTCAGTAATACTGATGCATGCTTCGGGCATAGGTATATTTTAACTCGAGTTGCCCTTTCCTAGTCGTAGTATGGTTCCACATCAAGTGCTCCATGCCTCCATCGTTATACGTTGTATGTACTAGCTCTATGGAGATTTTTTGATTGCAAAGATGCATTTATCCCTAAAGCTAGGTGGGTCAGTGGGTGATAAGCAGATTTGTTCTTTCACGGTTTTACCAAATTATGTGTGGTTATAATAGAGCATTTTTATCTAGGGAGGACAAAGTAGATGGATTATGCTCTGCAAATACTGATGGGCCTACAGCACTTCTTTACTCTCCGTACCATGTGACACTCCACAGAAAGTAAAGGAATATTAAAATGTGGGTAAGAAATTGATGGGTTTGAATCATACTCCCTCCGTTTCCTAATGTAAGTCATTCTAGCATTTTTCACATTTATATTGTTATTAATGAATCTAGACATATATATCTATCTAGATTCATTAACATCAATATGAATGTAGAAAAATGCTAGAATGACTTACATTGTGAATATATATCTATCTAGAATAGTTTGTTGCATTATGATATTCACATTGCAAATGCCCTTAAACACCGTAATAATAAGTTAACAACCACAACTAAGACATGGCCTAGGCTCACCACCCTTGGCCATATAGGCGAAGGGGCAAAGGAAGGGCCCCTCTGGCTGGCCATGCAGCACGGCCGTGCACCACAACGTCACAGGCAGCCGGCCGCAGCAATCCTCCATCCTCACCTCCACCTCCAGCGACACGCGCTCGCGCCGCCGCCGCTGGCTCTCCATGCGCTCGTACAGCTCGCCGGGTATCCCCACCCCGTCGCTGGTCGCCACGATCGGCACGGAGCCGACCGCCTGCCCCGGCACGCAGAACCCGCCCGGGAGGTCGGCGTGCGCGAGCTGCACGCCAGCGTACGACACCGCCGCGCTGGCCCGGCCGGCGCAGAACGCGCGGCGCGTGGCCTCGTTGTCGACGCGGAGGGTGAGTTGAAGACGGGCGCCGCTGCCGCCGCGCCGGCCCTCTCGAGCCCCTCGATGCCGGGCACCTTCACCCAGAAGTCGGGCTTCCGGTAGCCGTACATGCTGTTCCACTGCCCGTACGCTATGAGCGATAAGAGAGTCGCGATGAAGGTCGCTAGTAGAAAGTATCGTAGACATGGGCGCCTGTCCAGGCAATTGCCGTGGTCGTCGTCATCTTCCGCCATGTCGGCGCCCATGACTCTAACCGCTAAAACGATGCGGCGAGAAATTAACAGTATCAGGACCGGACCTGGATAGGCACGTACACCTGTACGTTACTTATAAAAGACTGGTCGTAACTCGTAACGGAAAAGGTAAGACTGGTCGTACCCAGACTTCGGGCCTCCGGTAGCCGTACTCCCGCGCAGCGTCGTCGTGGCCGGCCTCGTGGATAGCAGCAGGGCAGCACAGTTGGCCCCAGCAAACCCAGTGTCCACAGGAGGCAAGCTCGCGAGGAGCGACGACTACCACAGGCGCTTCTTGTTCGCGCGGATCGGCGCCCTCGACAGCATGGTACGTCGCTGCCGCCGCTGCTTCGACTGGTCTTGATCGCCATGAGCCCATGAGCTGCCATGCATGCATGCTTTAATACTAGCTAGTTACGTTCGACAAGATCTCCAATGGATCAAATATAATAGGGTCGTTGAATCCAATCACAAAACGGCAACACTACCGAACGTGATCACCATGTCCCACAGAGTCTTATAAGTAACGTACCAAATCCAGGACAGGTCCTGACTTTTTTCTCGCTGCATCCTAGTACGTCTTAGCGGCTAGATCATGGGCGCCGGCATAGCGTTAGATGACGACGGCCACGGCGATTGCCTGGACAGGCGCCCATGTCTACGGTACTTTCTACTCGCGACCTTCCTCGCCACTCTCTTATTATCGCTCATGGCGTACGGGCAGTGGAACAGCATGTTCCGCGACCACGACCTCGACGCCTTCTCCGTGCGCCTCGCCGGCTACGAGGGCATCGACCTGGGCAGGCCGGCCGCCACGGTGTCGCCGGAGTTCAGGGTGACGCTCGGGACGGCGAACGGCGCGTGCGTGGACCGCGCGGCCGTGACCGTGCTGTACTCGGGCGTGGCGCTGGGTTGGGCGCGCGCGGAGCCGCGCGACTGCGCGGCGGGGCGCTTGGAGAGGGACGTGGAGGTGGTGGCGCGGGGCCAGGGAGTGGGGCTGTCGGATCGCCTCCGCGCGCGCATGGCGTCGGAATGGCGGCGCTCGTCGATCGGGCGCGCTGGAGCTCGACGTCGACGTGAAGATCTTCGACGAGGACACCTACCCGGTGCACGCTACCTACCACATCCCTGACAGGGTGATGCTGTGTAAGGTGAGGACGGATGGGCGAGGGTCGGAGTCGCCGTCTTGCCCTTGGTTTTCGCCGATAACTTTAGCTTTCGCATAGAAATTAGTAGGCACACTGCAAACTGATTAATTAATATTAGTAGATTGTATATTTGTACTACTGTTGTTTGTGTACAAAGTCCATATATTAAGATTGGTAGATTGTGCATTTGTACTATTTTTTTTAACAAAGTCCGCATATGTTTTTTTTCCATAAAAGAAAGTTACAAAGCGAGACGCTTATATATGTGTGCACATTTACCACTATGAACACCTTCAATCACCACATACATCTGGTTCTTGACAGGTACTGTATGTCTTTAATCACTAAAAAGATAATTTAACCATAAATATGAGTAACCCATGTCAGATTTTAAACCTGAATTTTTACCATTATCTAAAAAAGATTTTAAACTTGAACTTGGATTCTCAAGTGGACATATTTTTAAAAATACACAGTATGAATGCAGACGTTCATAATGTGGATATATTCATCCTATGAATGCACGCAAGCACATTTACCCGTACAGACGCACACCTTACCTATGTGAGTATCTCTTACCATATATATCGACCATACATTCATGCTTATTTTACGTAGTTTAAATATGTTGTTGGTAAAATTCCACAAAATTGCGTTGATGTATCGGAATTTCTTCTATCTTTTTTTTCCCTCGTACAACTGGAATACTCGGTTGAGTTTTTCTTCTTTTTGCGAGATACTTGCTAATTTGCACCATACAATCACCAAATTATTTCGATTTATTTATACACGTTTGATGAGTTTGGAGAAAGCGAGCATCAGACCGTTGGGCCTCACCTTTTTCTTATGCTGGCTCATCAGCCAAAATTGAAATTTTCACTATTAGGGCCCGTTTAGTTCCCAAAAAGTTTTTCCAAAAACATCACATCGAATCTTTAGACACATACATGGAGTATTAAATATAAATAAAAAGAAAATCTAATTGCACAGTTATAGGGGAAATAACGAGACGAATCTTTTGAGCCTAATTAGTCTGTGATTATCCATAAGTGATACAGTAACCCACATGTGCTAATGACGGCTTAATTAGGCTCAAAAGATTCGTCTCGCGGTTTCCCGACGAGTTCTGAAATTAGTTTTTTCATTCGTGTCCGAAAACCCCTTTCGACATCCGGTCAAACGTCCGATGTGACACACAAAAATTTTCTTTTCCCAACTAAATACACCCTTAATTTTGGAGTTGATTTTGGGGTTTTTTCATCGAAATTTATTTTTCAGTATTTGTTTTTAAATTGTTAAGAACATGTATACAAGTTATATTTATAAATTATTTTTTGTTTGCAAATATATCATTTCATTTATTCCCTAAAAGATGCGTGAGATGTTTGTGATTGCGTGTGTTCGGCATGCACGCCACGCCACACCGGTCACATGAAACTAGACACCAGCCCACATGAGTGCATGACCCAAATAGTGTTACAGTGAGACCGAAGGACAACGCCGGATTACTACTCTCACTAGCTGATGACGTGAAAGTTGAAACTACTCCCTTCGTCCAAAAAAACGCGATTTCATCACACCTCGAATTCGAGGTGAACCTCGCTACACACCTCACCGCGCCACGGCGTGAGCTTTCAACCTCAGCTATATAGAAGTAGTACTCCAGTAATTGACATTGTGTTGCTTCCTCCGCAATCGCTTCAAACAGTTGTTGCCACAGACCTACTCCCTACGTCTCATAAAAAACTAACTTAGTGTTGTCCAGATTCGTTGTACTATTATGTATCACACGATCATCTCCAATTCTAGATTCTTTTTTTTTTGGACGGAGGAAGTACGGCGGTTGAAACCGATCTTTATCATTTCTCTCCTTTCAAATCACCCACGTGGTCAGTGTATGTGATGCGGTGTCAAATCCTATTAGAGCAAGTTTAACAGTATAGCCAACTACTAGCTCCAACTCATCTATAGCCAATCTAATAGCTCATTTATACAATAGTTATATACTACAGTATTAATACATGGTCCCATCTATCATACACACATTGCTTCTTGGAGTCCGTGTTACAGCTGGCTATAAATCTGTAGCCCGCTGCTCTTCTCTCTCCTTATTTATCTCCTTAAAATATGTCTGCAGCTGGCTTATAGCCTGCTATTGTACCTGCTCTTAGAGCAAGTTTAATAGAATAGCCCACTGCTAGCTCCAAATCATCTATAGCCAATGTAATAGTCAATTCATACAATAGGTGCTTACCATACTATTAATATATGGTCCTACCTATCATACGCACGTTACGTCTTAGAGTCCGTACTGCAGCTGGCTACGATCTGTAGCCCGCTGCTATTGTACCTACTCTAATGAACCACCTCCTTTTACGTGTTTGGAGGGAGAGTTCACTCTCCCTACCGAGGACAGCCTTAAAACAAAAGCAAACCAAACAAATTTACCTCACATTAATCCCTGGAATTTCTATTTCTACTTTAAATCCAGCCATCACATCGATCCGCACTAAGAGCAAGTTTAATAGTGTAGCTAACTGTTGGCTCCAAATCATCTATAGCTAATCTAATAGCCCATTTATACAATAGTTAGCTATAAAAATATACTATACCATTAATACTCGGTTCCACCTCTCATACACATATAACGTCTTGGAGTCCGTGTTACAGCCGGCTACAAATCTGTAACCCGCTTTCTTCTCCCTCTTCTCTTTTTTTCTCAATATGTGGTTATAGCTGGCTTACTGTTGTACTATACCTTTGCTTTGTGAATTGTGAGGTGCGGCCGCGCCGATGGAAACGTGTGTGTCCGTCTCGAGCCCCTCGAGGCCTCGATGTCGGGGTACCTTCACGGCTTCACCCAGAACTCAGGACTTTGGTTAGTAAAACGCCATGGCACAAGAAACTCTGGACGCCTTGGTAAGTTGGTCCCGACTCTGATTGGTACACACGTTAACTTGTAGCACGTCTTGAGGTATATGGTTGCGGTAATCATATATCGCAAGGGGAAGGATTT